GGATAGAGCTAGAGAATTAGAAGGAGGTGGGGGGAAAGGGCTGGGGAAAGGGGGTGTGTAGCTGAGACCCACCATGGGCACATAGGAGAGGGTGGGGAGGTGGAGGAGAGGGGAAGGGAGAGGGGAACTCATGGGAGGGGCAGGCACACAGGCATACACACACATAAGAATAAGAGATGGGAGGGAAAGATGGAAAGTCCTGGATACTGACAAACAGAGGTGAGGAGAGAAGAAAGCGGGTCAGAAAGGAGGCCACAGAGAGTGAGAAAGAGAGGAAGCCCATTAGACCCACAGTCCTGGGTCACCATCGCTCTCTCTGGGTCCGGTTCCCTCACTGCTGCCCTCCCCCCTTCCTCCAGCCAAGCCCTGGACACCTGCCCCCCCCACACTGTGGCTGTGGGAGTCTCAGTGGGCGCATGTGGAGGGGGCACGTCCCATTGGCAGAGGGCCCAGGGTCAGCCCCTTTCTAGTGAGGGGAAGCCACAGTCCCCAAGGTGACCCCAGGTACCCCTGCCCCTCACCTGCACGGCCTGAGGGTCAGAAGGGTCCACAGCCACAGCCAGCCGGGCCTGGGTGTCAATGATGAGGTAGCTGTAGTTGTCTGAGAGGACAGGGATGGGAAGCACCTTCACTCCTGGGGGACAGAGATAGGTTGTGGGTGGCGTGACAGGCAAGGTGCCCAGTAGTCAGGGCTCTGTGACAGTGAGTAGGCAGGGAGGGTGGCTGGGCACAGCTGGGGGCAATGCTGGCCCAGGGCAGCCAGAGCTCACCATTGAAGAGGCGGGGCTGGGTTCTGGAGTGGCCTTTGGGGTAGCGATTCCGAGCCCTGCGCAGCTGCTGTCGGTAGAAGAGGTACCCAAGCCAGGTGCGGGTGTACAGGCTGTACCTGCAGGGCGGGACGTCCGTGCTCAGACCCAGCACTCCTAGCCTCCGCGATGCATAGGCCCCGTGTCTCCACTCCCTTGGCCGCCCCTGAGTCAACGCAACTCCACCATCACCTATTGTGTGCCTGCTGTTTGTCCTGCTCAGTACTCAGGACAAGATGGAAAATGAGACAGACACACCCTCAGCTTGCAGCCCATCGGGGGAGAAGTGAAGAATTCAGACAGACTCCCGGAGGGGTTTTTACAGTGAAAGGAGTGGAGTTAGGAATCTGAAATAGGTGAGAAATATATTTCAGGAAGAGCAGTGGTGCATCACAATGGTGCCAGGGAATGTGGAAACGGATTCCTCAGCCCCACCCAAAAAAGCAGGTCTGGAGTGGGGCCCAGGAATTTGCATCTTTCTAACAACCCCAGGTGATGCTGATGCTACTGGCCCAGGGGTCACAACTCTGAGAACCACTGGGGTAGAGGAAACTATAATAGAAGACAGCAGGGCTTGTTGAGGGAAACTAGAAAGTTCGGTTTGGCTGTTTGATGGAGGAAGCAGGGAGAGGTGAGGTTGGATGGGCTGACCACACTTCCTCCCTCCTCTGGCCACCATTCCAGGCCATCCCAGGCTACACAAAAAGAGGGGACTTGTGAGTGACAGAGCCCTACAAATACAGAATGCAGCACACAGGGCCAGCTTCATAGGTATGTGGCCCCTGCTTGGTTTAATGCTCTGCTGTTGCCAACTTGAAATCCTCAGTGATTTTACTTCTGACCTTGTGTGAAACCTGATGGGACAACAGAACATGCACATGAGCAGAGGTGATACACACAATACGTGTATGTTCTGTTCCTTGCTGCCCCGTACACATACCGTGTTCCCAATGCCCCATGAGCACAGAATCTGGCAGACCTCCTATGTGTGGGAATTCAACAAGACTCAAAGTAATACAGGTAGTTTACATCTACAACTGAGTGAGAGGGGGGCACTGACTGGCCTAAGAGCCACGCTTTCAGTTCAAACCAGAATTCGCTTCAAAGGCATAAAGAAAGCAGTGGTGTTCTAAGAAACACAAATGACCAAGGAACCCTACCACATCCTTCCGAACTCATGTTATGTCCCTTTATGATTCAACCATCTATTATGCAAATAATGCTACAGAGGAAAGGGAAAGGGGGTCACCCATCTGTCCTTTTCCGTTCATCAGTCCTTCCTCCATCATCAGTGAGTTGGAGATGGAGTGTGAAGGTAGAACGTGAGTGTTTCAAGAGGTGAAATAAAAACAGTTGAGTCAGTTTTGTGCAGCGTTCCAGTGGTCTGGTCAGAAAAAAATACGTATCCCTGCACTAGCTGAGGAATGTGAATTATGTAGTTTCAGTGATTCCACCTGGGAGTTAAATGTCCTTATGTTTAAAGCTAGTATTGTACCATATAAAAATGAATGGAAAAATTCATGCTAATAATTTAGATTTTTAATTTTCCCTTACTTAGAGTGACACTAAATAGCAAATTAAAACCATCATGGCAAGTCAAAAGAGAGATGGTAGAAGAAAGGAAAAGCTTTATATTTTAGTTCCTTGCATGGCACTTTTTTCCTGCTTTTTGAACAAGAGGCTCAAAATTTCATTTTATACTGAGGCCTACCAAGCATGCAGGCAGCCCTGCCAGCAAGGAAAGGAGCTGTCTCAGGCCCTCGCCTCTCAAAAAGGAAACTGAGGCTGGGGTGGGGGTGGGGCAGTTAATGCTTAGGGTTACACAGCAAGTCAGTCAGAAAGGGCGGAGGTGATTCTAGCTGATTAAACCAGATACAGAAAAGGTGAGGTGGAAGGTAGCTGATGGGCCCTAGATCCCTACAGGGATTTACTGTGTTTATGTTGGAGAAGACATAGTGAGGTGAGATGCAGGGGCACCAGCTCTTCAGGCCCTGAAAGAGCTGGCTGATTTGTCTGCAAACAATTTGATCAAAACCAAGCAGGTCTCTGTAACAATTTGATAGAAGTGATTTAGCTCAAGTTGAATCATTGCAACCCCTGGTTTGTGTGCCCACGCACTTGTATTAACTGGGAATTTCGACACATGATGGAGGGGTTTTGTCATCCTTTGAGCCTCTATGTCTATTTTTCATAGGCCCTCTTTCTCTTTTGTTTCTATTTTTTTAATAATTAAAAAAATTTTTTTTCAATTACAGTTTACATTCAATATTATTTTGTATTAGTGTTGGATGTATAGCATAGTGGTTAGACAATCATGTACTTTACAAAGTCACCCCCCGATATTTCCAGTACCAGCCTGACACCATACGTAGTTATCACATATTATTGACTATATTCCCTATGCTATACTTTATATCCCTGTGACTATTTTGTAACTGCCAGTCTGTTCTTTTTTTTTTTTAATATGTTTGTATGATTTTTTTAGAGAGAGAGGAACGGAGAGGGAGAGAGAGGAAGGGAGAGGGAGAGAGAAAGAGAAACACCAATGTGAGAGAGAAACATGGACCGGCTGCCTCCCACATGCACCCCAACAGATTGAGCCCACAATCTGGGCATGTGCCCTGACCAGGAATTGAAATGGCAACCTTTCCGTGCACAGGATGACGCTCAACCAACTGAGCCACACTGGCCAGGACTCACTCCTCACTCTTTTTTCTTTTTTCTTTTTCCTTTTTTCTTTCTTCTTTCTTTCTCCCCTTTCTTTCTTTCTTTCTTTCTTTCTTTCTTTCTTTCTTTCTTTCTTTCTTTCTTTCTTTCTTTCTTTCTTCCTTTCTTCCTTTCTTCCTTCCTTCCTTCCTTCCTTCCTTCCTTCCTTCCTTCCTTCCTTCCTTCCTTCCTTCCTTCCTTCCTTCCTTCCTTCCTTCCTTCCTTCCATCCGTTTCTTAATTTCACTCATTCACCAATATTTCGTGAGGCCTTGCTATTAGCCTGCTCTGGGCACACAGTGAGTAGACAGAGTCAGGGTCCTCTTGCAGCTCACATTCTAGTGTGACAGAAGGGACAATAAACATATTGTGAAGGACAGAGGATGATGACAGGAGCTGCTATTTTAGATCCTGTAGTCAAGGAAGGCCTCTCTGGAGATGACTTTCCAAGAAGTAAGGGAGCAGGTCATGTGAGAATCTGGGGGAAGGTCTCTAAGAACTGGACAAAAGGAAAGTGCAGAAGCCCCGAGGGAGGAAGGAAGCGAGGTGGTGGGAACTGCTGATTCTCGTGGGTGTGTCAGTGATGACAGAGAGCTGGCATGAGAGGTGCCCAACCTGAGGGGATTAGTTGGAACAACCTAATTATCCTGGATTGGATTCTAGACCAGAAAAAGAACATTAGTGGGACAATCGGTGAAATTTCGATAAGGTCTGGAGAGTAGTTAATAATTTGTATTGATGTTAATTTCTTAGTTTTTATAATGGTACTGTGGTTATGAAAGAGGTTCACATTCAAGGGAGTTGGGTGAGGGGCATATGGGAATACTGTGTACTATTTTTGCAAGTTTGAAATGATTTCAAAATGAAAAGTTAAAAAAGAATAAGTAAATAAGCTTTTTAAATCACCCTTTCCTCTGGGCCCAGCCGCCACCTCAGATCTGTGCTTGGAGTCCTGCTCCTGAGAGCTTGGGCAAGTCATTGGTCTAACAGGTCAGGCTCCTCATCCTTACAACGGTGCTACTAGGACTTACCCCTGCAGGACTGTGTGAAGATTAAGTGACATAAAACAAGGTAACAACTGGTAACACTTAGTCAGGGCTGGCAGTGGAAAGCGTTGAGCAACTGTTGTTTCCTTCCCACGTTCAGCCAGGCGCCCCTCACAGCTGCTGGCAGGAGGCAGAGCGCATCTGGGAGGGGCTTGCTGCTCCCTGTCTTTCCTTTCTGGACACTCATTATACGAGTTTTGTCCTCCAGCGAAGGTCAAGACCCACGAGGGCCGCAGCTGTGTATTATTAAGAAGATGCAGTAAACAAGGCCCCTCTCTTTCATTTGCTTCATTCAGCAAACATTTGCTGCACGTGCTGGGCAGGGTACAAGCAGCAGAGAACCAGGCAGCTGGGTTGCTGCCAGCATAGTGAGTGGAGCGGCCAACAGACCAAACCGGAAAACCAATCAACAAACAAGCAGTTAACTAAAGCCGGCGATGGAGGAGAGTAGTTGGAAGGGAAGAGGGCTCACTATGGACAGGGTGGTCAGAAAAGACTTCTTCGAGGGCAGCCTTTGAGCTGGGAATGGAAAGAAGAGGGAGTCAGCAGTGCAGACAGTCTGGGTGGTGCAGCACCAAGGTCCTGGGGCAGGCAGGACTGAGGTGTGTTCTAGGAGTTTTCCAGGAGGTGTAGGAAGCACTGGAGGGGCAGAGAGTGCCAGAGAAGAGGTGTACAGGGGCCAGGCCATGGAGAAGGGGTGGAAAATGGCTGGTGGCCTTTAAACCGGGGAAGCACATACTCTGAATCCCCCTCTTTTTATTTATTTAAATATATCTTTATTGATTTCAGAGAGAGGAAGGGAGAGAGAGAGAGAGAAAACATCAATGATGAGAGAGTCGTCACTGATTGGCTGTCTCCCACAGGCCCCCAACCGGGAATCGAACCGTAATGCCCGGATCCTAGGTTGATGCTCAACCGCTGAGCCACACCTGGCCAGGCTTGACTTCCCTTTTAAAGAGCTCACTTGGCTGCTGTGTAGAGGGAGCAGTGGAAGGTGGCAGGGGAAACTGAGTTGCTAAGTGGGAGAAATGGCAAGAGCCTGGACTGGAGGGGGCGTTGGAGACAGAGAAAGGTGGAGATGGATGCCCGGCCCGAGATCTGTGCCCCACTGGCTGTGGGGGGAGGAACAGGGTGGCCCTTGTGGGCCTGAAGTCTGGATCACAGTGCAAGGCAGGGGAAGGCAGGCCTGAGGCATGGAGGGATGGAGGGGCCTGAGGACCTAGTGACGTGGGGACACTCATCCCAAGCTCCTAGGCCCAGTCCTTTCCTGACAATGACTTCCACGTGACTCTCTCTAGTCTCTGAGCTCTCGCTCCTCTATCTGCCTACATACTGGCTGTGTCACAATCACGAAGGTCCAAAACCATGCTTGTCAGCTCTTCCTCCTGCTGCCTCTCTTTCTGGGAAAGGCCCTGTCATCTGTCATCATCCCAGTTACACAGTGTGAGCTCTGATTTAACCCTCTCGCTGACATGCAACCAAAACAGAATTTCTCTTGCCTGGCCGGGCATGGCTCAGCAGTTGAGCATCGACCTAGGATCCAGGAGATCAAGGTTCAATTCCCAGTCAGGGCCCATGCCCGGGTTGCGGGTCCGATCCCTGGTCGGGGATGTGCAGGAGGCAGCCGATCAATGACTCAGCATTGATATTTCTATCTCTCTCCCCCCCCCCTTCCTCTCTGAAATCAATAAAGATATATTTTAAAAAAACAAAACAGAATTTCCATCAAGTTCGCCTTCCACCCCCACCGTATGGGCTCACCCAGGAGCAGGCCCTTAGGAAAGCCTCCTCTACATAGCTCTCTGCCTTCAATCCACACTGCAAGCCACCGGCAAAAAAAGGACCTCTGTTGACTGAGTTCTGCTCCTGCTCCAAAGCCTTCAGTGGCTCCCCACTGCTGACAGGAGAGTGTCCAACTCCCAGTCAGTCCCTCTGAATTGGGACTGAAACAAGCCTCTGCCTCCTCCCCTCCGTGTGGCCCAGGGAAGTGAACAAGCTTCCCAAGAGTGAACGAGCAAAAACCTGCAAATGCTCACTGACAGCACGATAGGTAAACACGTGGTGACATAGTCAGACCACAGAAAACTACATAGCCAGGAAAACAAAGGATCTAGACCTGGCCGGTGTGGCTCAGTGGTTAGGGTGTCGGCCTGTGCACCAAAGGGTTGAGGGTTCGATTCTGGTCAAGGAGTCCGTACCTGAGTTGCATGTTTGATCCCCAGCCCTGGTCAGTGTGCATGTGGGAGGCTACCAATCAATGTCTCTCTCTCACGTCAATGTTTCTCTCTCTCTTTCTCTGTCCCCCACCNCTAAAAAAAGATCAATGGAAGAAATATTCTTGGGTGAGAATTAACAACAACAAAAAAGGATCTGGAGTACCAGGTCTTGGCAGGCACAAAGCTCAAACATACCAC